TAATGCAGCCCAGCACTGTGTTGGCCTTTTTGGCAGCTGCAGCACACTGCTGGCTCATATTTAAGTGATTGTCCACTAGGGCATAAATATGCAAAAACATACCACTTTTGCTAGGCCTTTAATTATTTAATGCCTCTTACTGTTATTTTTTCATCTGTGTTTTTAAGTTTTTTTATACTGTTTTGTTGGCCACCTCGATTGCTCATCCACCTGTGAGGGATGGGGTAGGGACCTATCCAACTATCAATGAATTCTTATCAGAGGATCTAATAACAACAGGATTCTTTATTCATTGTAGTACTTGCTCCTTATTATGACTTGCAGAATCAAAGTAAAATTTAAAAAATAAGCAAATTAGGGGGACAATAGTTTAATGGCTTTGCATGTAAAAGTCCTAGTTAGCCTACTTATAACATCTGAATTGCAAGCAGCAAGAATGAAGAATGCTGAATGACAAAGGCCCCCTACTTATATGGGCCAATATTACCTGCAAATTTGCATGATTTATGATTTTAAAGTTGTGCATTATTTTCTCTATTTTAGTGCAAGAAATAGAAAAGAAACATTGTAGTTTTGCAATGAAAATAATCAACAATTTTCAGAACTGGAAAATTTCAGTATGAGACTTTGGACAGTTAAATGTTCATCTCCAAAATGTCAGCTAGAATCTGTTTCTCTTTGATCATGCGACGTGCTAAATAAAGTGTTGAAAGGGCCACGGTACTTGACATGCATAAATACTAGATGGGACTAGAATTAAAGGATTTTTTTTTTGTCTCTCTTTGTTTCCAGGAGGTGTTTGTCTACACTTTTCTAACTGGATGTCCTCCAGATGTATTATCTTCTGTTCCTATAATCCATGGTAGATAGGGATGACTCATGATGACCACTGATTAACAGAACTTAAGTCCAACACATCTGGAGAGAATCAAGTTGTGGAAGGCAAGAACTGTTACTTTATAGTTAATCCCTCAAGAGCAGGGCTTCAGAATTGTAGCTTTATAACACTTGTTGAACTACTTCTCCCAACATCCTTTGCATGGGTCATGTTGGTTAAGAATATTAAGGATGATCTTAATAAAATATTATTTGAAGCATGGTCATCTGGCCTGAAGCTCACATGAAATTTACCTGAACAATTTTTATGTCCACAAAGAACTGGTCTAGTATAATTTAGATGACTTGATATAATACCTTTATCTCCTTTGGTGCATACTTTCCCATCATCTTCACGTATGTATCCTTCGTGACATTCACACCGATAGCTACCAAGAGTATTTACACAGATGTGAGGGCAGAGAGTCTCACTGCTTGTGGCACACTCATCAACATCTGAAAGGAAACATATGTAAGCATTGAGGAAATGAAATGATCAAAAATAAATATAACCTGCATATAACTTTGTGTTCATTGTACTGGATTTGGAGGGAGTCCATAGCTCAGGAGTAGAACATATGCTGTGCATAGGAAAATCCTGGGTTGTTTTCCACTATGGGTTTATCTAATCAGGTATCCTTATGAAAGAATTTATAACTGATCTTAGGGAAGGCAGTTTGGAAGGGAGGAAGGAAAGAGGAAGTGATTTAGGAGGGACTTGGAAAAGCAATCCACAATTAAAGACATTGAAAGAAGCATGATAAAGAACTTCAAAATAACCTCAACTTGATTTTATTTAATATAAGATGGGACACAGAGAAACTTGGGTATGCTTTTAAGATTCTATTACTCTATTCTTCAACAATAAAATAACATTTCTGGAATTCCTGCGGTGTCTGTTTCTTGACCTGGGCAAGCATATTGTCATTGAATACATCTGAAGGTTATCAAGTTGGAGAAAACTGTAATACATAATAGGAATGTTCATTTTTTTTTGAAAACGATAGAAAAGAGGTGCTTTCGAATGCATCGTACTACAACCTCAGTGGGCAGATAGCAATACTTGCCCAATTTTGCATGTATATTTGTGAAACCGCAATCCAAAATGCCAGAGCATTTGAAAAAGAACAGGAAATTCCAAAAGTAATCATGTTCCTGACACAAGCCTTTTATTTTCAACTGAAAACAAATAGGCAAGGAGAAATTCTGCTGAGTTTTCATCTAATAAACAAGATCTGAAGAATAGAGAGAGCTCAGGATGTTCTTACTGAAAGGCCAAAGGACAAAACGGCATCTAATAGAAAAGAGAGAGATGGCATCTCTCCAATTCCACATAGAGAACTGAGCTAGACTGGCAGCTGGATTTTATTCTGGTGTTATGATGTGATAAACCTACTTTATGCACCATCGGTAATAGACTCAGGTATAGTATAGGGGGTACCTTGCTCAATAGTAGTAACTGTGAGAGGGACCTCGGAGTCCTAGTGGATAATCACCTAAATATGAGCCAGCCGTGTGCTGCAGCTGCCAAAAAGGCCAACACAGTGCTAGGCTGCATTAACAGAGGGATAGANATCTTCCTTTGACTTTGGTATTTGAAGATTAGACTGGACTTGACTTGAGGAAATACTGTAGCTTTTTAAATGTAAGTTTATTTACATTCGACAATTTACTGAATGGGGTCCCACAATTCAACCCTGAACTACGAATATTCTCTTTGTTTTACTATGTCTCATGAAATTAAGAATATTTTGTAAATACTGTTTTTTTTTTACTGTGTTAATTGTTAGTATGTTAAGGTATTTTAGAGACTGGTGTTGTTTGTTTAAAATTGAAGAGAGGTGGTTTTAATGTTATTATTTCTGTACAAAAAGAAAGTTGGATTTTAGCTTGGTAACTTTAAGATGGGTGGACGTCAACTCTCAGAATTTCCCAGCCATGCTGTCTTTCAGATACATGGTATAAGGCCTTAACCTGCATTGCTCATAATCTCAAATATCTCTTGTGAGATAGGCAGTAACACATATATCATGAATAATAATAATAATCTTTATTGATTAGCCCTTGGGCCATATCAAGAATAAAACAACAACAACAACAACAATACTAAAGTTGGAAGGGACCTTGGAGGTCATCTAGTCTAACTCCCTGCTCAGGCAGAAAACCCTATACCATTTCAGAAAATGGCTATCCAGTCTCTTCTTTAAAAATTCCAGTGTTGGAGCATTCACAGCTTCTGGAGGCAGGTTGTTCCACCAATTGTTCTAACTGTCAGGAAATTTCTCCTTAGTTCTAGGTTGCTTCTCTCTTTGATTAGTTTCCATTCGTTGCTTCTTCTTCTTCTTTTTTTAGAATAGAATAGAATAGAATAGAATAACAGAGTTGGAAGGGACCTTGGAGGTCTTCTAGTCCAGCCCCCAGCTCAGGCAGAAAACCCTATACCATTTTGGACAAATGGCTGTCCAGTATCTTCTTAACAACTTTCAGTTATTTACAACTTCTGGAGGCAAGTTGTTCCGCTAATTAATTGTTCTGTCAGGAAATTTCTCCTTAGTTCTAGTTGCTTCTCTCTTTGGTTAATTTCCATCCACTGCTTCTTGTCCTACCTTCAGGCGCTTTGGAGAATAGCTTGACTCCCTCTTCTTTGTGGCAGCCCCTGAGATATTGGAACACTGCTATCATGTCATTCCTCGTCCTTCTCTTCATTAGACTAGACATACCCAATTCCAGCAACCGTTCCTTATATGTTTTAGCATCCAGTCCCCTAATCATCTTTGTTGCTCTTCTCTGCATTCTTTCTAGAGTCTGAATATCTTTTTTACATCGTGGTGACCAAAACTGGATGCAGTATTCCAAGTGTGGCCTTACCAAGGCATTGTAAAGTGGTATTAACACTTCACGTGATCTTGATTCTATCCCTCTGTTAATGCAGTTTAGTACTGTGTTGGCTTTTTTGGCTGCTGCAGCACACTGCTGGCTCATATTTAAGTGATTGTTCACTAGGGCATAAATATGCAAAAACATACCACTTTTGCTAGGCCTTTAATTATTTAATGCCTCTTACTGTTATTTTTTCATCTGTATTTTAAAGTTTTTTTATACTGTTTTGTTGGCCACCTTGATTGCTCATCCACCTGTGAGGGATGGGGTAGGGACCTATCCAACTATCAATGAATTCTTATCAGAGGATCTAAGCAGAACAACAGGATTCTTTATTCGTTGTAGTACTTGCTCCTTATTATGACTTGCAGAATCAAAGTAAAATTTAAAAAATAAGCAAATTAGAGGGACAATAGTTCAATGGCTTTGTATGTAAAAGTCCTAGTTAGCCTACTTATAACATCTGAATTGCAAGCAGCAAGCAGCAAGAATGAAGAATGCTGAATGACAAAGGCCCCCTACTTATATGGGCCAATATTACCTGCAAATTTGCATGATTTATGATTTTAAAGTTGTGCATTATTTTCTCTATTTTAGTGCAAGGTTTGTACAAGAAATAGCAAAGAAACATTGTAGTTTTGCAATGAAAATAATCAACAATTTTCAGAACTGGAAAATTTCAGTATGAGACTTTCAGTTAAATGTTCATCTCCAAAATGTCAGCTAGAATCTGTTTCTCTTTGATCATGCGACTTGCTAAGTAAAGTGTTGAAAGGGCCACGGTACTTGACATGCATAAATACTAGATGGGACTAGAATTAAAGGATTTTTTTTTTGTCTCTCTTTGTTTCCAGGAGGTGTTTGTCTACACTTTTCTAACTGGATGTCCTCCAGATGTATTATCTTCTGTTCCTATAATCCATGGTAGATAGGGATGACTCATGATGACCACTGATTAACAGAACTTAAGTCCAACACATCTGGAGAGAATCAAGTTGTGGAAGGCAAGAACTGTTACTTTATAGTTAATCCCTCAAGAGCAGGGGTTCAGAATTGTAGCTTTATAACACTTGTTGAACTACTTCTCCCAACATCCTTTGCATGGGTCATGTTGGTTAAGAATATTAAGGATGATCTTAATAAAATATTATTTGAAGCATGGTCATCTGGCCTGAAGCTCACATGAAATTTACCTGAACAATTTTTATGTCCACAAAGAACTGGTCTAGTATAATTTAGATGACTTGATATAATACCTTTATCTCCTTTGGTGCATACTTTCCCATCATCTTCACGTATGTATCCTTCGTGACATTCACACCGATAGCTACCAAGAGTATTTACACAGATGTGAGGGCAGAGAGTCTCACTGCTTGTGGCACACTCATCAACATCTGAAAGGAAACATATGTAAGCATTGAGGAAATGAAATGATCAAAAATAAATATAACCTACATATAACTTTGTGTTCATTGTATTGGATTTGGAGGGAGTCCATAGCTCAGGAGTAGAACATATGCTCTGCATAGGAAAATCCTGGGTTGTTTTCCACTATGGGTTTATCTAATCAGGTATCCTTATGAAAGAATTTATAACTGATCTTAGGGAAGGCAGTTTGGAAGGGAGGAAGGAAAGAGGAAGTGATTTAGGAGGGACTTGGAAAAGCAATCCACAATTAAAGACATTGAAAGAAGCATGATAAAGAACTTCAAAATAGCCTCAACTTGATTTTATTTAATATAAGATGGGACAGAGAGAAACTTGGGTATGCTTTTAAGATTCTATTACTCTATTCTTCAACAATAAAATAACATTTCTGGAATTCCTGCGGTGTCTGTTTCTTGACCTGGGCAAGCATATTGTCATTGAATACATCTGAAGGTTATCAAGTTGGAGAAAACTGTAATACATAATAGGAATGTTCATTTTTTTTTGAAAACGATAGAAAAGAGGTGCTTTCGAATGCATCGTACTGCAACCTCAGTGGGCAGATAGCAATACTTGCCCAATTTTGCATGTATATTTGTGAAACCGCAATCCAAAATGCCAGAGTATTTGAAAAAGAACAGGAAATTCCAAAAGTAATCATGTTCCTGACACAAGCCTTTTATTTTCAACTGAAAACAAATAGGCAAGGAGAAATTCTGCTGAGTTTTCATCTAATAAACAAGATCTGAAGAATAGAGAGAGCTCAGGATGTTCTTACTGAAAGGCCAAAGGACAAAACGGCATCTAATAGAAAAGAGAGAGATGGCATCTCTCCAATTCCACATAGAGAACTGAGCTAGACTGGCAGCTGGATTTTATCCTGTTGTTATGATGTGATAAACCTACTTTATGCACCATCGGTAATAGACTCAGGTATAGTATAGGGGGTACCTTGCTCAATAGTAGTAACTGTGAGAGGGACCTCGGAGTCCTAGTGGATAATCACCTAAATATGAGCCAGCCGTGTGCTGCAGCTGCCAAAAAGGCCAACACAGTGCTAGGCTGCATTAACAGAGGGATAGA